GGGTGGCGGTGTCAGTGGCGAGGCTCGAATCTCGAACCACAGGGTCCAAAGCACGCCGATGACAACGACTAGACCACTGTGCCACCACTTTGACTCGAGATAGTCATTGTTTGAGTACGAGCATTCAACTGCGAGTCCGGATTGTCTTTCACGACGTTGCGTCCGGGTGAAATACTTTCGTGACCGCGAACAATATCTCAAGAGCTGAGAGTGCTGTGCATAATTCGGCGTTTGTAATTCATTTGCCATATTGTGTGTTTGTTTGTTGATATTTGACGTTAAACCTACTCCTCTGTCTTAAGTAGTTTAATGAATTTGGGCAAAACCAGATAGAATATGATAAGATGCGATAGCGGTAAGATCGGCTATCTAAATTCCGATGCAAACGCGTGTACATGTGCATCCCTCTAGTGACTAACAAATTTGATGCCCATCAAATTTAATCTGGCTTGCAATACAAGGTCAGAATATGAATAATTTCATACGGTTAGATCTAAAGACAAAGCAACCAAGTGATAAGAATCGTTTAATGGATGGCTGTTGGTAAAAAAGTACTAACTTTGATCGGCAAAAAGTGTGTGGGATCAGTTAGACCGTAAGCCGCAGACCACATTATCATGTATTACCAAACGGATGTTCCACAAATCAGAATCCTGATGGCAAAAGATCTGCGGATACAAAAAACCATCGTCCGGTAATCGAGTTCTTGTGCCAAATCATGAAGTTACATATTCGATCACCCTCTTGGCATGTCAATAAAGGAGTATCGAAATAGTTGGATGCGCTATTAGTGATTTGTTCAGTTCCGAACCATAGTTTGATAGATAGAACAAGCCTTAATCGAAGCAGGGCTGATTCTGTGAGATCTCACAGTGATCTAAAATAAAATGAGGAATACTTGATCCCTGACACGACAGAATGTTAAAAAATTGGCAAATTGAAAAGACAAACTAGTGGACCGAATTCAATTCAATAAAGTATAACGTTATCATGATAGTTTTAAAGAAATTTTACTACCTTACTTCCATATGAAATACTACTTGAAAACCACATGTTTCATAATAGACAAAGAAAAGATGGTGAAACCAGCCAACTCACCTCAACTAGGAAATGTGAACCGAAATGGAATGCACGAATAGTGTCCAAACGTTCGATTGCGGCATGGTGATTCAGACTGACAAATGCAATTTTTTGTAGAAATCTCGGATCAGCTGTGTGCCCGGCCAGGTTGCGCGTTTGCTCTGTTCGTATTTGAAATCGATTCGAAAATGGTATGGGACAAAAGGTCAATCATTGAGAAAAAGCCTCGACCAGGTGAATAAAGTTAACCAGAAAAATGATTGACTAATGTTATATGAGAAAATTCCTACGGCTTCACAGACGACCAAATTTTAGTGAAGTAATGCGGGTCAGACAGTGATACGTGTGAATGTTCTGATTAAAGCGTTCACACCGCTATCCAGAGATGTAGTTTTTTCCAAATATGAAGAATATGAGGACAGTTTGCACACATGCACAAACGAGTGTTAGAATACAAGTTTGGTGGAAGTACGTGTTTTGACTATTTGTTCATCGTCAACTCATTGTGTGCATTAATGCTATGCTTTGTATGAATCCTACAATAGCGAGGATTGAGAAAAGTGGTTTATAGCATATAGCAGACGAGAAATGAATCAACTTGATCGGGAAACCGGATACTGAATTACACAATGATGGAAATTAGATTACCTCACCAATAGTCACATGAAATGTAAGTTTCACATGAGAGTAACGGAGTATTTATTCTAGTCATTTGGTGAATTTTGTCGTGTACAAAGTAGATAGGTCGCGGACTAAAAAGCTAGGCAACACTGGACTGCTTCTTCGACCTGGTTGAGTCTCATCACCAGCGTGAATTAATCGACCCAAGTAGGCATCAAACCCGAGACCTCAGACGTAGAACGTAAGCTTACTACCCAGTCGACCACCGAACAGTTAGTCAGACCGTTTTCCATTTTGCTACACACGATACTACACAGTCCATCTTTTTGAGCCTAAAGCAGGCATCACAATTCGTGCATTTCAGCACTAACCCCACGGGGTTATGACTCAGTTGAAAACATCCCAACTAGATTACATTTTACACGACAGTGTTGGAGGATTCGATCGGACTACATGGTAATATATTTATATACATATATATGTATATATTTATATACACGTCATTAAACTTTGTTTGACAGTAGATGAGATCGAACCAGGTATTAAATCTTCTCTTCGATACCAGAGTTTCGATAACGTGGTAAAAATGTAATTGACCTTAGCAGTGGTGACCAAGTGGTTAGGTCACCAGGATGTGATTCGAAATCCTGATTTCGAAGCGCTCCACCGCAACCCGTCTTCCCAGTTCTGCATTTTCCCAGGCAGCCTTTATATGGCCTGAATGTTGACTGTACATTTGCATATTCAATAATAAAAAAGGAAGTAAAAAGACATTAAGGACGATAAAGAATAAAGTAAAGGTATTTTTCAATTCGTCTAAATACCGTCGAATACGGGGAGACATGATCTTCGCATATCAATTACTAAATCAATCGAACCACCCTTGCAGTACTCCACTAACACTATTCAGGAATGGTCACCTCCGAGGACATCCGTTTAAACGTTTGCTCCAAAAGAGTCGGCTATACTGCAGGCGTCATTCTTTCAGCCTCAGAGTTTGTAATACCTGGAACTCTCTTCCACCTCAAGTTGTTTGTGCATCAACCATCGGTTTATTCAAGTCACGACTTGATGAAGAATTGAAACGCCTAACTTTTCAGTACCCGTGAGTGAACGTCATAATTTGCTATTTAATTGTACTACCAACCGAACCCAGTGTGTACAGATACTATGGGATTCAATAAGCATCAGCTTTGTAATTGACCCATAATTAAGAAAACTGAAATTCACTGTGACACTCAACTCTGTCTCAGTTGCGATATCCTCCCCCTCAGAAAAGAATGTGATGCAACATATTTTTTCTTCTATCGGTCCAATTTTCGTTCTATTGCGCGCATTAGTTCAATTTCCATATCAATAAGATTGTCATGGAGTCAGAATGACATGCTCAAGCACATACGTTTATACACAACTTTTGTGTTCGTTGAATTATGATGGGCTAATATTTTACAACCCGAAGGACAGAGGGATGATGACATTTTAAAACAGAGTGAGAGCCTCCCGATCAGACAGACGCATCCATCCAAAGAGGTGTGCTATGCAACTGAGTGAGGGCAGTCACAATTATGTCAGTCAGGTTCATCACATTCGGCACGATCAAATTGATTGTATAGTGCACGGTGCTGTTTTTCGATTGAAGGTAGAGTGAACGTGAACTGCAATGGTTTCAAAACTGGAACGACAAACAGAGCATAAGTGAGTATTGTGGTGAAGCAACAGAAGACTGATGACATGATGATCACTACTGTTTAGTTATACCACTCAGTAGCTCTTTGTTTATTTGCGGGAACAGAGTAAGTGTGGTACATCATGGGTTTCTGGACCTTCCAGTGTCCATATTATTACCAGTATGTGAGAATCTTAATGATCGCAATGGATACACTCAGCCAGAATATCGAAGGAATTGTGTGCAGTTCAGTCAACTAAACATAATGCATAAAAAATAAGCGAGTAAGATTCTTCGGATATATTTGACCCAAACATACCCAGACTGTACAAACATGTACCTACCCGCAGCGATTTGATACCAAGAATACAGGATGTAGCAGCTGATTAGTAATGCTCCGATAGGATCCAAAAATTTCAAATTCTGGTAACGTGCTGTAATAGGAGATGCGTGAAAAGCAAACGTAAAATGATAAAACACAAAACATGAATTGAATTAAAGTTGTCAGAGTTATATATATGTGGATGAAAACCTTCGGAAAGGAAGTCCACCATTTATCGATAAAGACAACAAAAATTGATAAAGATCGATGTATATAATAGCGGATTTGACACGGCACGTTCATAGTGGGAGGAAAATGCAAAATTCTTAAGTATATACACCGAATTGGTTGGCAGATCCTTTTACTGAACCGTAACATACCAGTAGAGGCCTAAAAAGAATAATTAAAACGATTGCCATTCAATGCGGCTCGTCCCCTCTAAGAGGAAAATATGAGAATGTTGGATCCACATTTTCTCGCCTAGCACATTACACAACACACGCGATTAAAGAGCTATCACTGCAAAGACAAAACTGAATAATGAAATCCCGCGACAAAAGAAAACCCCGGTAAATGTCGGAAGGTTACAAAAACCATCTTGTCACTCAGAGCTCTTTCTGCTTCTCTTTCTCTCAATACATATATAACAGAAAAATGTTACAAAATAATGAAACAGTGAGAAGTGACAGAGCTATTCTGTATTCGAATAACGAAAAGACTTACTGTCCGGTAGCACAGGTGCTGTGGTCAGGAAAAAAAAGAAGAGAAATGTTACCAAATGAGCTTAGCCGTTGGATTTAAGAATCGGACCAAAACCCGTGACACAGTCAGCATAATTGTTTACGACCTTTCACTGTTGAACAAGAACGACCGCGGTAACTGAAGGTGACGCGCAACGACAAAACTTTTATTGTTTCATCTAAATCCACGAATCACATTTCCAAACACAAAATAAAACACTGGTAGTCAAAACAATTAGGATTGAAGTCTCATGAGACCATTTTGGATGGACTACAACTTAGAGAACACGATTGGTTTTCAGCCATTCGTTTACGCTGGTTAATTAGCATTGTGACAGAAACGGGGGGGGGGAGCGCGGGGGAACACAATTCAGATGTCTGATTGTTGTTCCTGTTAAGGTATCACTAAGTTTTTTTTACCCGTTTGCGTTGTTTGTACCGCTGGGACCATAACTGCAGATGGTAAACATTCCTCCCAATCCCAACAATTAGTTTTTTGTAAAACAAACACGGGATGAACAAGAGACCACACAGAGATAGTAATTCTCACTATGAAAACACGATGGTATACTTAAAATTTAGTCGCAAATAAAAGTGGCTAGCTGTTTTAGATTGCACGTGCACATTTGACGAGGTCTGATATCAGGAGACGAACCCCAAACACTGCTATGGTGTGAACAATTCTCAAACAGCAATCAACTGGCCAAAGGTAAGCCACACTAAGAGCTTCAAATCTACGTAAAAATCGCCGGTTATGGACACGTAGCAAACAGAGTGACCTGAAATGTGTGGCGAACGTTTTTCGAAGCAGCTGTTCACAACAACCATTTTTCATTAGGTGAGCGTGTCTGTATGCACGATCGGTTCAGTTTGTAATCAGGCACGAAGTTCAGGAATCTAAGTGACCTAAGCTGCGCCATTCAAACGCGCCTTGTATTGGCAGCATGCAAACATGCATGGATAGACTTCTAGCTCCAAACTCGTCCGGATCGGTAATGCACGGGGCCACAAATGATTACCGGGGTGAGCAACTATGATCAAACCATAAACTGCCACACGCATTACTGTTTTCTCTCACTCGACGTTAAAATATGCCACAATGCGACAAACATGGAATTAGGGAAAAAATTTAAAAGCAATGCATAAGTCACGAACAGAAAAAGAACGCGTGATGGTTGCAGGTAGGCGGATCATATAAATACTATCTAAAGGTTTCTTAAAAAGCAGCAGTATGTTATTCCATTGGCAATTACTAAAGAGTAACAATATTGATAATTAAAGTGTTCCTTTTCGTGAATTGATTATAGAAAGGTACAATATACTTTCAGGATGGGGGCTGCGGTCGTACAAAGGTTGCCTGGGGACATACAGACAATGGCAAAATCGGCGGTGGTGGCGGGTTTCGAACTCAAGACATACAGGTGGTTATTTTGACGACCCTACCATTCGACCATCGCCGCCCACGTCTGACACATAAGCTATTTTGTTGTGCATGTGATCAATGTTTCAAGTCAAAATGATGCTATGCACATCTTGTTTCATAGATGGCACAGTGTAGATAACAGTAATAAATATACAGTAGCTTATCCGTGTGCGGGGACTGGGAAAATCCACTTGAGGTCAGTAATTGTAACACATTTCAGAGTTAGAGTAAAACTGAGAAGGATTCACTAAATACAACAGTGCTTTCAAATATCTGAAACATTTTACGTCTGTTTGATGAAGTAACCGTTACCTTGGCCTAATTGGCCATAGATAGATAGATAGATAGATAGATGGATAGATAGATAGATAGATAGATAGATAGATAGATCCAGTTTCTGTAAACCATCAGATTTTAGTATGATCCGATCGGAATGGACGGATTTTAATTCATAGGGTATCTGACTCATATGGATTTCGGTAGACGGTATGATCTAACGCATTAAGCACACCAGTAAGTTCCCTAACCAGGTGTACCACACGTTGCAGAGCTCTAAGCTCGTTTGCAAGCTCTTCCTCGTAAGATGGTGAAGAGAATAACTTGAAATGCGACCGAACCGCAAATACAGCGAATTCGCTAGGACATACAGCGTCTTGACAAACTATGTCGATCATGTTTTGCGACGAAATGGTTAAACTAAGTCGTTAAGATCAAACACCCTTGTCGATGTCTGACAAGAGACAGATAAGAGATTCACAGTGGACATGCGGGAACACGACTGAGAAACATCAAACTGAATGAATGAGATCACCGATATCGTTCATTCGCTGAGAAACGAGAGCACAACCAGAAGCATGAAAATGTCAGGTGTCTAACCTACATACCGAAACTATTTGCTTGCACAAATGCATTCTGAATGTCCAGCAAATTCGAACCAGCATTGTTACCTACTAGGGAACATGGAACATCAATGAGTAGTGCTTGCACGTTCTGTTCCCGCCTCTATCTGAACTGTTAAACTTTATTTTCACAAGAGATTGATTACTAAGTTCAAAACGCTAATTAAACCTTAAATTTCATGAATCCAGTGGTACACTGCTGCAGGTGAGACCGGCAAAACAATAAATTAAAAAATTCGATCCATTTCAAGAATGCTGAAATCAAAGGCCGGGACCCAAAAAAGGATACAATTTANCAATTTAAACCGGCATGTTAACTTACGCAATCGGCCTGCCAACCCACTGAACAA